ATGGGTAACGCTGAAGCTGATGCTTCACTTATTAGAGACCAATATGGCATTGATTCAATGCGTGACTCGCTGATTTTATTTCCCCGCGGCTTCCTCGCGCAGTGGGATGCTGACCAGCGCTGCTGCTGACGCGCATTTATGGTAAATACCCGTGACGTGAACGTTAAAAGGATGATACGACAAATATTTCGCTTTCCTTTGACACGGCAACCTTTTTCACAAATACATATGACTTCAAAGACAGACGCAGGTAATCGCACGCGCTCTGCCGATCTCTCTCATTCACTGTCTGTGCGAAGCCTCTGTAGGCTACACATCACCACGATAAACAGTCTTGTTTGTTATCATTATGAACTTGTTTAACATTCAATACACATGCATGAAGTTCAAAACAAGAAGGGTATAGCCTTATAAAAAACGTGAATATCGCGGTTGCTGCGGTTACTTGCAATCCTCTGCGGTTACTGCTGCTGATACCTCTGCGTCCTCTGTCGTCTACACCAGTGCAAGTTTGTGAAAGCAGTTGTATCAACACTCTGGAAGGGGGATTGTTCTTTACAACCATCAATACTCCATTAATTTGCAGTTAAATGTCTATAATAATTGTATCAATATGTTGCATAACTACAGTCCTGTAATTCAACAGCTGGAAAAAAAAATATGCTTTTTTCAAAAACACTTATCTTAATCTCGAAGATCGGATCGGATCGAATCGAATCGAATCGAATCGAATAATGATAATCGATTCAAGATCTTGAGAATCGGAATCGAATCGATTCTTGAAATTTGAATCGAAACCCAGCACTAGCTATACGTGACCTCAAGTCTCAAAGAACATAACATTACAACAATAATGAACATAAACAACTTACAGAGCTCTGACTTGTAGCACGTCTTTTCAGCATTGATAGTGTTGCCATAGAAACACATAATTCTGAGTCCGAGGACGTGAACAGCTAGCTCCTGGTAGATCGTCACGGGTTGTCATCTCTTAATTACGGTAATTACAACATTACAAGCAGCATAAGCTAGTTGTTTTGGTTCAGGAAGAACAGTAAAAGGTAAAAGGCTTTTTGTTTGTGGCATTGGGTGACTGACTGTCTTCTACTCTGCATAGCCTCATGGAACACGCTGATGACGTGATGTCTGGGTGAGCAGGGTGCGCGGAGGTATGGAAATACACATTGGCAGGCAGGTAGGGCATCCTATCATTGCATTCGGACCAAATCCAATGATTGGACAAAGAATGTTGGTACTGAGACTTCAACAAGTACATTTGAATATTTAGGCCAATTCTATTATTGATTGCTATCAGGATGTGAATAGTTCCAACCAGTATAACACAAACTGTTGATTGAAAAACATTGCCTATACCCTAGCTTTAAGTGTAACGAACCTGGCATATTACTTTGATAAGCATACGATTGTTTTGAACAAGCTAAATTAGCCCTTTTGTTGAACTTGTGATGATTAATCATTTGTTGACTATCTAAGTGGGCTTCAAACTAAGTTTGTTGTTGAATTTACAATTCAACATGCAAATTAATTTTACATGTATTAATTGTCATCTCCACTGCAAAACACAAGGAAACATGATAATATAGGTCAGTAAAGGGCACATGTAGAAATTGATAACATTCTTCAGTTAAATGCATGTTCTAAGAAATTGTGAAAGATGTTTAGTTCTGAACACCTGTAGTCATTTCATTCTAAATATTCCCATTTCAGAAACCTTGCAGGGATGTTCATCTTCATTTGAGACAACAAAGGGAAGGATAAAGCATTTTTAATACCTAAAATAAAAAAGAATTCTGTTTGTTGCTAAATGGATATTCTTTGTATTATCTGTTTGGTTTTAGTCAGTTATTTATTTATAATCCGTTCTCAATCCCATTATGAGTATAATCTAAAATGACTGAGTTGCACCGCTGCTTAATGAATATGACTCAATGTGCTTGAGCAAAATGGTATACCGTTTAAAACAGATTGGCTTTTTGTCATTCAGACAGCTATTTTGTCTAGTCTGTTTCTCTCTTATTACTAGGCATGGCTGTAGTTTTAAAATGATTCGTCCCTCTAGGTGAATACTCAGGACCTTGTCATATTCACCATTTACATGACAAATTACAATACCAGTGTTTGTATTGCTATTGCAAGCCCTGCAGGTTATGATACAAATACTCTTGCAGCATCTAGTTTAAATGAAAAATTGCCATGTCATGTAGCAAGGCTAAGATGATCGTCTAAAACTGTATACATAATTTTCTCTCTATAAAGGGCTTAAAATACCTTTTTTTAGTTCTACGGTGGTAACACACATCTTAATCCAACATACCTCTAAATAATTGTTTTCTCTTCGTTCCCCAGAAAACTATGTTTTGATGTTCTCTCCCACCAGACATTTGCTTAATTTGACTCATGCAGATACTTATTTCATTTCTTAATTATCCTCATTTATGTGTTTACACTTTCTCCTCCATCATTTATTTTTCTGTTCATCCCACACATTTTATACATCAATTTTATTTCATTCCTTCCACACGTCACACTTGTCAAGTCAAGTCAAATCAGTTTTATTTGTAAAAGCGCTTTTCCTACATATTGTTCCAAGCTGTGGTTTAATCAACATAAAGTTGTGTAGGAACCAACAGAATTATCACTTTTATGACATTTTTTACCAGCCTGAGGATATTTCAAGCCAGTTTGGTGTTCAATTATATTTAAGTGGCACCATTGGTGCTTTTCATGCGTCCGCAGTTGATGATAAAAAAATGCATTTATCTCTCAGGCTAGATGTTTTATTTGTGGTATAAAAGTATACCTCGGCTCCTCTTTCAGGGTGGATCAGTTTAACAGCATTTGATGAAGTGTATTGTTTTTGTAACCACCGATATTGTCTGATGATGCCCCTGTAAAAAGGGAATGACACATAACAGATATTATTCCTGCAGATAATAACCAAAATCCTGTTACTGCACTGGGTGGGGGAGATAATGTGATTTTAGCAGCAGATTGCTTTGAAATGAACAGTGCTCTCAATGAATACATGTTTACATGTGTTTGGTGTGTTTGAAGATAGCATTCAGGTAAAGATCTGAGCTGTTGATTCAAGGTTGCAGGTTCGATCTCAAAGAACTGGAGAGTTAAAGAGATCACAACCTTGCTTTTGAATAAAGTACTTAACTACAAGAAATACATTGAAATGAGTGTATTTTGCTTTTTCATAAAGAACTAAGCTGAAATAGCTCAACAGTACAGAAGAGACCATAAGCCAGAAGCACCATCTATCTCAAAGCTTCGCTCTGCCCTTGTGACTTACAGTACATTAGACGCCTTTTAATCGGCACTTTTTTTTATGTTTCCACTTTCCAAGCAGAGCTACCATCCAAAAAAATAAAAAAATAAAAAGATGGGAAAAAAAAACTAGAACACATATAACAATGGTTTGCTCTTGGGAGAAATGTAAACAGTGATTTTACACAAAAGCAAAGCGCGTGTTACTCAAGGCAGAAAAATAGCAAGTCAAAAGAATTGCTGATGGAAACGGGGAGATTGCGGCATTTGAAAGGCCTTTTTTTGTGGTGCACTGTGGTGCTGAAGTGCAGCGCATTGTAGGATCCCTACTGAGTGGTTACTGTGTTCCACTGAGACTTCCTCATCAATATGCATGGAGAAGTACGGATGTCTACGTTGAAGAATTAGATGTCATGCAGCAAAAGCATTGCTTTTAAATCTGCTGTAATCACAGCAGAAAGCATTGTACAGCTCCGTATCTGAGCTGTATTCACACCGTTATGAATGTGTGACAGCATGTAACATATATTCTGTGGGAGATAAGGGTGTAGATGCATCATCCAAGAATGGCCTCCCATAGGAATAAATGCCAAAGGTGGACATCTTATGATTATGACTTGAAATGTTAAGCTTGAAAATATTTAATGAGCTGATATGCTAACCAACAGCTTATCCCATCACTATCTGCACTGCAATAAATGTAGGCATAATAGCGCTTCTGTTTTGATATGCACATCACAGTAATTAGAGGTTAGGCTATACTAAGCACTGACGCACAAGTCAGTGTGGTGCATTTATATTTCATGTTACCTTAGGGTCTGTATTTTCATCTGCATTTGCATTTATTTTAACACTATTCGATATAACTATGAGTATTTTTGAATGTCGCCCACAGCCCACACATATGGTCACATGACACGCATGGCTTGACAGACTGTCATCAGAAAACAGTAACGAGACTCTTTTCCAACATCTGGTTTGGTCACGGACGTGAAGAATGATTGACAGCACTTGGTGGAAATATGGAAATAATAACAGGGTTAGAACAAGGGGCGGGACTGCGGGAGACGCTGAGAACTTACTACTGAAAGAGATGTCGAAAATGTTCTCATGGCATCTGTTTACCATGGCACTGAATTTCAGTGCCTGCATTTAAACTGTAACTGGTGCTGTTGCCTTTTTATACAGTTTGCACTTGAAGCAAAAAGCTCGTAGAGTTACAAATAATGTGGATTAATCCAAGCAGTACATTTTTTTTAGGGAGAACTTCTCCATTTCATATGCCAGCGCAGTTGCACAGCGGATGCTAAAATTGGAAGCATGTGCACATGAGGATCTTATTATTTCACTTACATTCTTTTATTGTTAACTTGGTGAGACTTTGTTCCTCTGAAGTACTAAAACACTCATTAACATGCAGAGAACATTTTTATGTGAATTCATTACACTTCTCACTTACAGACAATTACTAGATTATTCCCACAAAGAATCATCGTACTTTTCTCCCCTGTCTGTGTTGACAAGATCTCTCCAGAGTCCTAAATAGTTTTTGTGGCCTCAAGGAAACAGAATTTCCTGTTAATTGCCTCTCTTTTTGTCTCCCCTCTCTCTCTCTCTGTGCACTTTTCACTTAAATGAACAGTTGTTTTGGTGAGTTTGTGGAGGTGAAGGTGACTAAGTGTTTACTAATGTATCTTTGTCCTTTCTGTGTAAATCTGCCTGCTGTGTGTGTGTTAGGTCAGTGTTTGTGGGGCCGAAGCCATGCTGATCTTCAGTGCCGGGTGGTGGAGTGTGGTCTTGCACCAGAGCTGAAGCCTTGTGCTGCTCCCCCATGGCTCTATGGGAGCTGTTGCTGCTGACTTTCAGCCTCCGCTGCTGGCTGACAAGCTCTGTCAGTTTAGCTGAAGAAGGCCCTGCAGGCCCCCTGGACTGGCTTCTCTCTGATAAGGGCCCCTTTCACCACTCACAAGAGTACACTGAATTTGTGGAGAGGAATCGTCAGGGATTTTCCACGAGATACAAGATCTACAGGTTAGTTGTATTTGAATTGAGGCCTGTATGATAGGTTTTACGTACGTTTTGATCACAACCCACTTTCTGATATACAGTAACAGTATACTTTATATTAATTTAAACATTGTGAATTTATCAATCTAGCCACATTTAGAAGCCTTCTCAGAATGATCAGAATGACCACACTCTATTTTCTTGTAGAACTTTGTTTCTCGGAATGCATTGTGTGTGTTGAATTTCTTTGAATCAGAACAAGTAGTAATTTCCTCTACTTTCATTCCAAATCAATTTCCTGTGGGTGTAGAAAATTAAATTACAATTCCAACTCATGAATTGGAAGGGAGGCTATTATTTATTTTTATTAATGCTTTATTATTTTTTATTTTATCCAACTCTGTTACTCTGGTTTGTTGTTTTTATAAAACAATTCTGTTATAATCAGTGAAGAAATTTCACTGATTAGTTTAACTGACAGGAATGGGACATTTTATTTACAGCACAGCATTATCTATAGAGTAACTAGACGAATCATATTTGGATAAAAATACTTTACTTATTAACTTAACATATTTTGTCGTGCAATTTGATAGAAGTTCTAACATACATGAAGTTCTGTGTATTTTCAATTGCTATATAATTGATCAGTCAACAGACTTATTATTATTATTTATTTTTATTCTATGAACAATAAATGAATGGGCTTGCAATAAAATAAAAAAATAATTAGTCAAGAATAATCTGGCAATGAAACATAACACGTCAAAAGTTCGGGGTCAGTATTTTTTTTTTTTTTTTTTAAATAATTGAATAGATTATTTTTTGTGCATCCTTGCTGAAAAAAAGTGTTTCAAATAAATATGGTTCATTTGAATTTTTTATTCATAAAATAATCCTGAAAATATCTATCATGGTTTCCAAAAATATTAAGCAGCACAGCTATTTTCAACATTGATAACAATAAGAAATGTTACTTAAGCACCAAATCAGCATATTAGAATGATTTCTGAAGGATCATGTGACACTGAAGTAATGATGCTGAAAAATTATATTTTGTCATCACAGGAATAAATTACATTTTAAAATATATTAAAATAGAAAACAGTTATTTTCAATTGTAATAATATTTCAATATTACTGTTTTACTGTATTTTTTTATCAAATAAATGTAACCTTGGTGAACACGAGTAACATGATTACTTCAAACTAAATCTAACCAACCCCAAACCTTTGAATGGTAGTGCATTCTAAAAGCCTTAGATTTTCTGAACTGAACTTGTTAGCAGTAACATTATATAAAATATACTGTAAGTTGAATTGCATTTCTGGTCCATTAGAAGGTGAGCAGACATTCCAGCTCTTAAATTACTGATGATTTCTCATACATCATTCCCATCATTGCAGGGACAGTTATCGAATTTTCATCAGTTCTCAGAAACCTCAGTTGACATCTTCTAATTTGTGGGAGCTACTTCATGGCTGCTCTGAATGGCCCTTCATCAAAACATTGGAGGGTTTATTTTTTGTCTGTTGGCTAAACCTGGTGCATCAGAGGCTCAAGCGCACCCTCTGCAAGATTAATAGTCTTATCATGTGGCCAACTGATTAGTGCGGTCTTAATTCTTATTACTCGGCATTATCACCTGTTCCCTTGAGATGACTACTGTCGGCGGCAAGGCTGTGTTAGGGGATGATTACAACCACTCCTTGATTAAATAAGTGTGTTATAACAAAATACTAATTGAAAAGGTGCAGCTTTCACATGCATGCCAGAGTTTAAGTAAAACGTTTAAATAAAGTCATTTCTCATTAAAAAGACAGACTATTTAAGTACAAATATGGCAATGTTTCAATAATTTATTATATTATATTATATTATATTATATTATATTATATTATATTATTTTGTATTATTGAAAAATGTATTTCAACTTATAGGACCATAAGTAATGCGTCTAAAAGCACCGTTTCTATTATGATATACTTTGTACTTTGTTCAAGTAGGCCTAGCCTGAAAATTATTTTCCATTTCAGTCCCATTCACATCCTCCCTAACATGCACTGGGCTATGAATAATTACAGTTGCATTGTTTGACAATTTGCCACTTTTATTCACACAGTTGTTGTTGATCTTGTTGTCATGTTTAGTTATTTGTTGTCTTGTGATGTCGAGATGAGTTTGTTCCTTCACTCAAAAAGATTATTTTGTTGATAATTACTCTAGACATGCTTCATGTACCAAGTGTTTTATGAGGGCTTCATGTTTCATGACTGTTCATTTGATGTTATCTTATGATTTAGCATAATGCCAAATTCAGACTACACAATATTTTTGTCTGTTACGAAAGCCACTGTCACTGACAGTGTCGTGGACAAGAATCATGTCAGACTACACTGTGCTTCCCTACCAATCATCGCTTGCCATCTTTAATGACGTGTGTGATGTCATCGAAAAGGTGGAATTAGTAACTGCCTTCCGGAAACATGAGCGTAAACAAACAATGGCTACCGAAGCAGCGTGTTAGCTCAATGCTAATTCCAGTATTCACCGGGTTGCTTAAGTGCCTCTGCTATCGTTCTGCAGCCTTTATCTTTTTTTCACTCTGCCATAGTTCCATGTGGAAACATCATAAAGGCAGGTGTATTGTAGCCATAGCTCCATGAACCTTTCCTCCATTGCTAAATTCCACCTAGCAGCACCAATACCATTGTCTCTCTTTTGTTTTACAATGTTTAAAAGCTGTGTAAGGAAGAGCTTCTGAGCTCCTATTGGTCAGTGTCACAAATGTGATGGAACCCTTCGTGGAGAACCAGAAAAAAAATAAACATGCTAGTCTTTCTGGCGGGACGTTGTGAAGTGTCACAGACACAGGGTCAGTTGTCGTCCACTATGACACACTATACAAGATAAAACAATCGATTCTTGCGGCCTGACACCCATTGTCATTTACGAATCACCACGACACCCTACATCAAACAGATTGTGCCATAATCGGGCGGATATTGTCCCGGCATAAGAAAAAGCACTTTGCTATACAGTACATGTACTGCACATTGCTTAAAACAAAACGTCTCAGGTTACGACTGTAACCGTAGTTCCCTGAGAAAGGGAACGAGACGATGCGTCACTTGACGCCTTGGGAACGCCCCCAGCGTGAATGCGTCTGAGCATCAATGTCAACTAGTCCAATGGAAAGAATGAGCGTCACGGGCGGGTGACGTCATGACCAGGAAGGGATAAAGGCTCACCCGGTGAAACGCGGCATTAGCTTCAAAAAGTCGAAGCAAGCCGATCACAGGGAAGCAGGAAGTATGGCAGGGTGACGCATCGTCTCGTTCCCTTTCTCAGGGAACTACGATTACAGTCGTAACCTGAGACGTTCCCTTTCGAGGGAACTCTCGATGCGTCACTTGACGCCTTGGGAACGAGAATACCCAAAACGCCAGAATTCCAAGTACCTGAGTGTCAGTCTGTTGAAACTAAGCACTAAGCACCTGAGAACCTGGGGCAGCATCCAGGTCTAAGCTGTAAAACCTAACGAATGTGAGCGGTGAGGACCAGCCTGCCGCATCACATACGTCTTGAAGAGAAACTCCAAATAATAAGGCTTTAGAGGCCGCCATACCCCTCGTAGAGTGAGCTCTGACCACCAAAGGACACGGCTGGTCAGAGTACTCGTATGCAAGTGAAATAGCCTCAACTATCCACTTACTAACCGTCTGTTTAGAAGCAGGAAGACCCTTCTTAGGTGATCCAAAGCAAATAAATAACTGGTCGGACTTCCTCATAGACGATGTCCGATGAACATAAGTATCCAGTGCTCGCACTGGACACAAGAGGTTCAGCCTTTCCTGGTCCGCAGATGTAAAAGGAGGACAGAAACCTGCAGCACAATAGGCCTCGGAATAATGGTAGGCACCTTTGGAACATATCCATGTTTCGGGTAAGAATGCCTTGGCCATCCCCGGTGCACTCAAGGCAGGAGGGGACCGAAAGGGCCTGAAGGTCTGACTCTAATAGGGACGAAATAGCTAGCAGAAAATAGTCTTAAAAGAAAGGAACTTCTCTGAGACCAAATCTAAGGGCTCGAAGGGAGCCCCAGATAGGCCTTCTAGAACTATTGCAAGGTCCCAAGCCAGCACCCTAGTGCAAGTTGCAGGCCTCAGCCTCAAAGTGCCACGAGGGAAACGAGTGATCAGGGGGTCTCGACCCAAAAATGTACTACCCACCAGGGCGTGGAAAGCCGCAATGGCCGCCACGTATACCTTAAGCGTGGAAGGACACAGACCTGATACAAAGCGTTCTTGCAGAAACTCGAATACTGTGTTTACTGAACAGTTAACCGGATCCCACTGACGCTGGTAACACCAAGAAGTGAAAAACTCTCGAAATAGTGAATATAGTTTCCTCGTAGCGGGAGCTCTGGAGCTTAGAATGGTCTCAACAACCTCGGTTGAGAGACCACTCTCTATGAGTTGGGCCCCCTCAGAGGCCAAACCCACAGTTTCCAAATCCCCTGCCGGGGGTGCAATATTGCATCCCCTGCCTGAGACGGAAGGTCTCTCCTGATCGGGACCTCCAAGGGAGGTCCGTCGAGGAGAAAAATTAGGTCCGCAAACCAAATTCAGCTCGGCCAGGGTGGTGCTACTAAATAGGCTTATTCCATCCTGGCGGAATCACTCCAGAACTCCTGGGAGCAGAGCAACAGGGGGAAATGCGTACAGACGTAGCCTCAGCCACGTCTGCACCATAGCAACCAGCCCCGTGGGGACTGGTTGAGTGAGGGATAACCAGAGTGGACAGTGCGTCGTACTTTTGCTGAGACGAGAACAAATCCACTTCTGCCTGGCCATAAAACTCCCATATTTGCTCCACCGCCTCGGGGTGGAGTCCCCTGGCCTCAGCCCCTGCCTCGACAGGGTGTCTGCTCCAATATTCTGCCCCCCCTGGAATATACACTGCCCTCAGACAGCGTAATTTCCTGAGGGACCAAAATAATAGGCCACCAACGTGTTGTCTG